TATCTTATTATATATAACTAAAATAAAAATAAAAAAATAAAATAAAAAAATTTGGAACATGTTATGAAAATTTGGGGGGTTTTCCATCCCTACCACGTTTATTATTGTAGAAATTATAACCATCTAGATTTTTTAAGTTTCAATTTCAAAATTCAAATTTAAAATTTTATATATAAAAATCAGATGATAATATAGATGGTGTTTGAGACCCATTTTCTTGTAAAAATGCATTTTAAAATGGAAAATTAATGGAAAATGTGCAATTAAAAATAAAGAAAAGTTTTAATTTACGTGTAATGTTATTTTAATAAAAAAATGTGTGATTAAAAAGAAGATAGAAAAAATGCATTTTGAAAAAAATGAGTATCAAACAGAGCCATAATAATATTATAAAATTAAATAAATCTACAAACTCGTCACCTACCAAAATACTCGCTCCCACCCCAATTTAAAATTAATCAAAACAACTCATCATACCCGACAACCCACCCCAAATCCTAAATCATTTTCCACTTTCTTATTTTCTATAATCTCCCTTCTTCTTCTTCTTCTTCTTCTTCTTCTCTCTCTCTTCTCCGACAACACGCTCAACCTTCGACGTCGAGGAGTGACATCGAATGAGCAGCTGCAGCGCAGCGCCTCTATGCACATGCACATTTCTAAGCGATTAGTCTCTTAGCAAGGTGCCGAAGTTGAGGTGCCACACTGTACTATGGGCGGAGGTGAAGCATTGTGCCTCCATGGTTTTGCCTGGTCACGGCACCGTTTGTGGATCTGAACTTTTCTCCATCGTCGTGAATCACAAGTGCTATCTGAATTTTCTTCAAGGGTTGTAAATCACAGTACTACTTGTGGAGGATTCTGTGACATTGCAATAAGCGACAAAAGTTTCTATGGTGATTTTGCGGTGGTTTATGTGGTGACCATAATACATTAAATTTATAAAATATATTTAAAATTAATTATTTAATAAATAAAATTTAATTGATATTTGATTTTTGAAATAATAAACATTTTTTCTTATCCCCTGCTTAGTAGAAATTTTTCACCCAAAAAATCGATTTTCTACCGTTATTTCACTATTCTAGTCGTCATTTTTTACGTCTTCACTCACAAACGAGACCCATTTTTCTCTCAAATGGTCAAAAAATTAATTCTCATAATTACTACCAAATAGGTCCTTAGTTTTGAAATGGGATATACTTATAAGGTGTTCTCAACTAAGATTTTAATGAATTTTAAAAGACTTTAAATTCTAATGAATTTCATGAATTTGAATAGATTCTTATAATCTCCATAAAAATCTCATCAAATATGGTGGAATTTCAAAAAATTTGATTATATATATTTTTAAGTTTGAAATCTATACAAATCTTTTAAAATCTCTCCATTAATGAAATTTTTATAAACTTATTAGATATTGAGAATATCTAAATTTTAAAGGATTTTATTAAATTTCATTAAAATCTCAATTGGGGACACCTAAATTTTAATGGATCTCATTAAAATCTCAATTGAAATCCCTAAATTTATAGCGATTTTTAAAATCTATTACAATCTAAATTGAGAATACCCCCTTAATCTCTCATATATAAAATTTTGAGGAAATTAGGCCTATTAGCTCAAAAAATTTAAATATTAGATTAATACTCTAAAAATAATTCAAAATATTATTACCGTATTGATTACTTCCGAAACATCAAAAGCAAAAACACCCAAAATAGCAATTCCAAATCAGAAAGGAGAAATCTCTGAATCAAAAAATTCCAATACCCCAAACCTACTCCTCAACAACGGTGGTTTCCTCTTCAAGAAACCTCGTCCGACTCAAATCTTTGATCCATCTCTGTCGTCCCCTCTTAAACTCTCAACCACAGATTTCAAATGTGTTTGGTATAATATCTTGTGCATTTTTATGGAGTTATATTTTCTTAGGAAAATATGTAATTAGTATTTGCTTGATTTTTTATATTTCATGGTTTATTATATGGAAGATTGAACAATGAATTGCTAATATTTGATGATTTTTCTGCATTTGAGCAGGATGTTGAGTGACGATAAGCATGTTGAACATAGAAACTAGGTGGAGAGTGTATTGTTAGTATTTTATGCATTTAATTAAGTCTATTTAATTACTGAAGCTATTGGTATAGGTATTTTATTGCTTTCGCCTGTTTACATTTATGTTTATGGAGGTTTTGCTTGTGATGCCTTGTGAAATTTACTGATTTTGTAGCTGAGCATTGGAAGATAGTGGAAGACTGGAAGGGATTCCTAGAATACATCGACATATATTTCACGTAACTTTTTCCGATTTTGTGAGAATTATATTTTCTGCAAAAATATTCATCAGAGTTGCATATTTTCATTCGATTGGTACTGACCAGCTCTTATATTGCAGGAAGGC